TAAACTGTGTACCCCGGTCAGAGATGATAGATACTGGTACACCGTGAAGTCTGACAATCTCGCGAATATATACTTGAGCCAGCTGCTCTGAGGAGTAAGTAGTAATCACAGGAATGAAATGAGCTGATTTGGTCAGCCTATCCACAATCACCCAAACTACGTCCAACTTCTGCTGAGTCCGTGGGAGCCCAACAACGAAATCCATAGTGATCCGCTCCCATTTCCATTCTGGAATCTCTAACTTCTGAAGTAATCCACCCGGTCGTTGATGCTCATATTTTACCTGTTGACAATTTAAACACCGAGATACATACCCCACTCTTTCTCGTTAACTATGTAAAAAATTACAAATGTGGTTGAATAATCAGAAATTGTGTCTCAGTAATTACAATCTACTGGAAAAAAAAATGAATAACACGTATAAAATGGTCAAATTTTGTAACAGTAATTTTCGAAGCATTATTAATTAGCAGGCACCAGACACTTTTACTTCCCCAAGTAAAGTACTTAAGCAATGTAATTTAAGTTTTTAACGTGTAAACCCTGCAAATAAATTTGTACACATATAAAATTATAAGTTAAGCGAAAGTCTAAAGAAAATTATTAATCTATTAATTAAATTTCAGTAATTTAATATAATTTGATTGGTACATATAATCTTAACATTTGAGGAGTTAAATAAGTATTCGATGTTGAATTCGAAATTTAACAAGGAGAACAATTGTAAAATAATTCCTAATTTATCCGTGTAAGAATATTCCAGATTAGAAAAGAATTAATATGATAGGAAACCTTTATTACTAATTCTATTAGAACTATGAGAAAGGATCGATTACTTGTTTGGAAAGAAATATAGACCTAATTCCTTTTTATTAAGGATTTGACCAAAGGGAAAACAAACTCTATATATCGAGGGTTTTCCAACGTCAAAAAACAATATTTCATAGAACGTAACATACTTACGCACACAAGAAAATCTTGATCTCTTCTGCTGTCCACTGTGTGTGATTTTTATAAGATAGAATATGAATATGATTAAAGTAGGTCCAGTTGGAGGATATGGTGTACGCAAAATTTCAACAATTTGGGATGAAAAGGGACGAGACCAAGTTGCTGGTTTTCTTATTACATACGACAAACACTCAGTTTATTCACTTCAATTCATGTACTATGAGAATGGTAGATTAGTTTTATCAAACAGACATGGTGCTTCTGATGATGAAAAAAGAAACTACGCTACCGTTGTTTTTGATTATGCATCAGAATATCTTACTTCGATAAGTTGTTCAGTGAAACATGGTCCATTAATGTTCATGTCATCTATAAAATTTGGAACAAACAAGGGTTCCTATGGATTATTTGGGAGCCCTTCAACTGATGGCAATGATATTGACTTCAACTTATCGATAGGAAATCGTTGTTTATTTGGTGGTTTTCATGGCAGTGAGAATTGCCATGGCGTTGGGAGTATTGGGGTCTATTTGAAGACAGAAAGCAATGATCAGGATAATAAAGCGTCGAAAAGGACGAAGATTTATTAACTCATCAAATTGTCTTTAAGATTTAGCTAAATATTACTACTATATATTTTATGTTAAAATTGTCGGTGCATCCATTTATAAAAAAATTATTTACTTATACAAAGTTTAAACAGCCTTCGCAAAACTTTTGGCTACGCAACTGGTTGTTCTTAAGAACAGAGGGAGGAAAAGGAGAGTGAAAATGATAGTGAAAGAAGTTAAAGCAGAATCTCCTGATGAGAAAAAGTACTGTTATATTATTTATTTCTTTTTCATTCATACAATTTTATGGTTGTGATTATTCTTTTATAGTTAAGGTTTAATTTCATTAGTTTTTTCATGTTTTTGGTAAAATTTGTGTGAAAGAAAATTTAATTAGCTTGAACAGGAGCCACTCCGAAGTTGATCAAGGATATTTGTTAAAAGCATTTAAGTTATATACATTAACAATATATTAATTTTTGCATCAGTAGTATAATTTAACATGTTGCAACAAATTACTTGTCAGAATTCTAGGTTATCAATCCATCAATATTATTAAATAGAGTAACCTGCAATTATTTTTTAAGTATCATGATTATGTAAACAATAATTTACACTGGCTCTCTTTAATATTGTCGGTCAATCTGACGGCCGGGAGACTTACTTCAAACCCCTTTATCGTGAACACCTCAGGAACAATATTATCTCAAAAAATTACAAATGTTCTTCACTAATTAGAAATATGTCTCAGTAAATAGAAAAAGATGGGGTTTTAAATAAATGTTTTATGTTCGATTCGAAATTTACTAAGAAGTGCAATTAGAATTTTTAGTGCAATTAGAATATTTCAGGTTAGAAAGGAATCCTTACCATAATTGGATGCCTTATATATTAGTACTACTTAATTCTTTTAGAATTTTAAGAAATTGTTACTTTCTTGGCAAGAAATATAAGATTTTTCGCTTTTGGTAAGGTTTTGAAAACGTAACTGTATATATTGGGGTTCTTCCAACAAAGAAACCAAAAATTCTTAGAACATAATCCGACGATTACTTGCAAAGAAAAGATTGCGTAGCCAAAAGTTCTAGCCTCTGGGTATGTACTATTTGAAGCCTATTTTTCTAGCTTTATGAAGTATAAAACCTAAGCTTTTCCGACGGCAAAGGTTTTTCTTTCTTCATCCCTCTATTTGTTTGTTTGCTTTCCCGAAGATGGTTTAATCATCCTTGCTAAATCTACGAATAATGTTAGCTTTCTTTTTATAGTTCTCCTTTTGTTTCCCATTGTAAAAGGAACTAAGAAACAATGACCAAAAATGATATGACAGTAGCTACTAGTAATAATAAATAGTTAATGGGGTTTCAATAAATCGGGGCTAAAGCAGTTGCTTCTGTTTGGCCCTTTAGCCAGCACTGAATAAAACTTGTTTATGTGTTATTTATACTGCATGCAAGTAGATATCCAGCGGTTGTTTTTGCAGAAAGAATATGAATATAATCAAAATGGCCCGGTGGGAGCTGGTTATGGTGCTGGTGGAACAATTTGGGATGAAAAGGGACGAGATCAAGTTGCTGGATTTCTTATTTTCTATCAAACAGACATGGCGGTGCTGACAATGGATTTAACGACCATTTAGCTATTGTCTTTGATTATCCATCAGAATTTCTTACTTCGATCAGTGGTTCTTCTAAAAAAGTGGGCAATGGCAAACCAGTTTTAACATCTATAAAATTTGGAACTAACAAGGATTCCTATGGACCATTTGGGACCCCGAAAATTACAACTGAGCCCAATAATATTGCAGATTTCGATTTTCAGATAGGAAATCATCGTCTTTTCGGTGGTTTTCATGGCACTGAGAATTACCGTCGTGTTCAGAGTATTGGGGTCTATCTGAAGACACAAGTCAATGACCAATTACAATGATCCTCAAGGAGTATTAAGATACTGTAATTTCATCTGAATTATTTCCAAGTGACTTATTCGTATTGTTATTCTGCTATGCTTGTTTAATGTTGGTTTTACTTTTCCATGTCAACTGACTGGTATTTGGTTGGTGAATTTCAAAGATTATCTTTTGAGTTTATATCAAGAGGTAATATCAATTACAATTTCAATAAAATAAAAATATCTTACGATCTTTTATCGATCTCTTTTGAAAAGAACCATAAATTAAAATAACACTGATAATGATTCAAAACTTCAAACTTCCCACCCCAACCTTATTAGATGTCTCACAAATAATAATGCGTTACCTAATTTGCAACATTACACGCCACATTAATATCTTCAACATGTGTGATAATTGACTTTAAACTATCTGTTTACCCTAAAATTTGAGTAACAATTAAACTTGTTTAGTGATTTTAAGGATACGTAATTTAATCCAATACCAATTGACAAACAAGGAATTGAAATAGATAATCTGAATAGTAAAATAAATCAAACTAGTGTTCTAGTAGCGCTTTCGACCTCGATTTGAGATGGTCTCGAGGTTGGGTAAGAAGAACAATAAAGAACAATGATGAATAGTAATAGATAGTAAGTAAAATAGAGAGCAGCGTGTTTGTATATTTTTATCAGTTAATCAATGCCCCTTACAAATGAATAGGAACCCTCTTTATATAGTAGAGGAATCCTAAATAAGGTACAATTCTAATCACGAAAATATTTCTCATGATTTACGTCAATAACCGCTTGATTTGATCTGTTCCGAGATTTTCGCCGAGATCTTCGGTCGGTTGCTAATATCTCGCCATTCCATTATTATGCCTTACTCGAAGTCGGTCATGATCGGTCTCGATATTTAGCGAGCACTTCGATCTTCGTGCTCCGTACTTTGCCATTGAGCTCGAGCCTGGTTTATTACGAGCTTACTCTCGAGGCACCTCCTCGTGCCTACGAAATCTGACATGCCTGATTTCGACCGTATACAGATAGTCCCCGCGTTTCTTGGAATAAAATGATAAGAAATGGTTTGAGCCTTGATTTTCCGAAACCTCGATCATGAAGTTGTCCTTATGACGTAAGTGACGGATGTGATCGAAACGTCTCGTCAGTTCAGTTCCCCAAATCATTAGTGCTTGTCAGTTAGCGGTCGGCCACTAACGCCACCGAACCGTCGCCGTGAACCTATAAATACCCGCTCCTTCATTGAATCAAACTTTACTTTTGCTATAATCAAACCTCTAAGTATTCTCACTCTTTTCATCTCCACATTTTTGCCGTCTGTAGAACCACTGTCGTTAGCACCGAAACCACTAGTTTTTCATCTTTCTTCGCTCTTCTTTACTTATACAAATGGCGAAAACCTCAAAGACTGTACCACAAAAGGAGAAAGCTTCTTGCTCCTCTTCCCGGCCGTCCGGCGGCAAGGCGCCGGCGGAGCCACTTCCCCATGAATACGTTTCCGGCCCGTGTACTCTAAAATCCGACTTCAAGGTCGAAAACCCTTCATCGATCCCGAGCCGATGTGAGCATGTGTCGATGTACATGTGCTCAATATCGAAGAGTCACCTCGAGGCCATGAAGAGGGACTGCAACTGGGGTCTCGAGGTCGTGGTGCAAATTCCTGTTCCCGAAAAGAGCATTACCGCCTATGGGGAAGGGTTCTTAAGTGTTTACACTTACCCCTTCACATTGGGTTCCCTCGACCCAGTAATTATTGATCTCTATAAAAGATATCAGATCACCCTCGGCCAAATCCACCCCTCTCTATGGTGCATAGTAATCATGTTGCGCTTCTTCTCTAGTAAGGCCGAGGGGCTAGAGTTCACTATAAATCACCTCATGCGGTTGTACCGGCCTCGAATCTACCGAGGAATAATCAGGCTCCAACGCCAGGCAATGAAGGCCTTGATCTCGAGCATCGATGAGGACAAGGATCGAGGTTGGATGAGCCGTTTTCTACGGGTAAAGACCTGCGACATTATCCCGGAAGAGAAGATGTCGTCCCCTGAGGAGTGGAACTTCAACTGTAAGTGATCTTTTAAACTTTGCCCTTCGTACCTTTTTCGACTTCGCCTGACATCCCCTTTCGATATGCAGCTATTCCTTGGATGCCTCAAGCAGTACCTGACCTCGAAGATTGGGTTCAGAAGTTAGCCACAACTTTCACATATGCCGAACGCGCATGGCGTGATTTGGCAAAGGGCAGATGGGAGGCCAAGAACCACGGTAAGAATCTCCTTTTTCATGTTCTGAAACATTTTTTACACTTCATTTATCACTAATTTTCTTTCATGCAGGCCAGACTAAGGATGCCATTTTGAGGCCTTCAAGTGGCGAGGAAGAAACCAAGTCCCTGGTTCCGAAGCCGGGGGAAGACAAGAAGAGGAAAACTGCATCGCAGTCCGAGGACCCCAAGCCCAAACCTCGAAGGGTGGGGAGGAAAGTAATCGCTCTCACGATGGACTCGGTCCAAAAACTGAGAGAAGAAGAAGAAGAAGAAGAAGAAGAAGAAGAAGAAGAAGAAGAAGAAGAAGAAGAAGAAGAAGAAGAAGAGGAAAATGCCTCAGTACTGACGGTCCAACCTAGGAAAGTCGCCGAGGTTACCAAACCTTCTAAGCCGACAGCGGCTGCTAAAATCAAACCTCGTGTCAAATAGACTTACAAAATGAAATTGGGTGAGGATGCCGAATTACTAGAGGTCGAGACCGTTTCTCGGCCATCTGCAACTTTACCGGATGAGGCTGGTTTTGAGAACCTGAAGATCAATCATAGCGTCTCGAGTGACTTTCTCGGGACCATGACAGCAAGTCACTTGCCTTCTCTCCCGACCTTTTCTGAGGAGGCACTAAGGGAAGCTCGAGAGTTGAAGACTCCTGATATAGGAGGAGGCTCTAGTGTAGGGGATCCCTTTCGGGATTGCTTTACTGGAGTCGATGATGCCTCTGATATCGGTGATGGTTCTATTCTTTTAGAAGAGGCCCAACGTCTCTTATCTCAGGTAAGAATCAGTTTACTGCACTTCTTTTCTTTACTCTTCTTTTTATTTTTCTCTAAATGACTTGTGTTTTCCTTTTTTGTATAGGCCTTCGCCAAGTTTCGAACTGACCTTAGCCAGTGTGAAACCGAGCTCCAAAGGGTCTCGGAGGAGCGGAACGCTTTGAAGCTTCTTTGCGGCCAAAATGACGAAACTATAAAGGACCTTCAAGCGGATTTGGCCAAGGCTAATGAGGAAGAGTCCGAGCTAGATAAGCAAGTGAGCATCATTTTGATAAAGTACAGACTCGACACAATTGTGGAGGCTAATACTTCAATATCTCAGCTGCAGCAAAAGGTTGAAAAGATCGAGTTGCTTCGGGGAGAATTCGATCAAGTAAAGGTCGATTGTGATCGGTGGAAGGAGAATATGGACTGCCTAGCTGCGGAAAAAGAAACTACCTCGGCCAAACTATCATCGACCGAGGTTCAACTTCAGGGCGTCAAAGAGAAAAGTTCGGCCCAAGCCAAGAGGATCGAAGAGCTTGAAATCGGGCTTGCTAAGGCCAAGACGGAGATCGAAAAGATAAAAGTCATGGCGGACAAGTCTATTGCCATGTACCGGGCCGATGCTGAGTCTGCTCAAATGCAGGTAAGGGAGGCTTCTGACCGAGAGTAATGGATCATTGACTCGGCAAAGTGTCAATCCCGGAGGGAAACATTCGAGGAAATCCATACTCGAGGTTTTGACCTCTCCGAGGAGAGAGCCCGAGCCAAGATGCTTGAGGCTGAAGCTAGGCAGCTTGCTTCCTTTGACGACGAAGACGATGATGAAGAAGGCAATCGAGGTGGATCTGATGAGGGGGCTGAAGGAGAAGTTGCTCCCGAAGAAGAGGTCGAAACTGGCCATAGTTAGGACTTAGTTTCTCTTTTTGTAAGACCTTGATCGGTCTCTTGTACATAACCTTTTCTATCAATATATAATTGAAAAACTTCTTTTGAATGTCTTCTCAATTTTATGTTCAAACGTGTTTTGTGCTTTTTTCTTGTGAAAGTTTTGTTGTTGCGGCCTCCGTAATCGATTGAACACTAGTTCGAACTTAGAACAAAACCCTTAAGTTTTTTAGACATACAAGGGCGAGTCCTCGAGCTCAATAATATATTCGAGATTTTGAATGGCTTGATCGATGCCATGACTGCACTATTTTTATAACTGAGTTCGCGTATGTTTCGAACTTAGAATAGAATAAACCCTTAGGTTTTTTTTATCAAATAATGGGTAATTTTTTAACTTACAGTAACATACCCCTTAAGGTTTTATGGTGGATCCTTGAGCTAAGTTCAAATCAACTTTATTTGAACTTGGAATAGTGGAACCCTTAGGTCCGAGTTGAGTGAGAACAAAGTCTCGAACTCTAAATGTATTGGCACTTAGGCTATTTTGGGTTGAGCCCATATGGACTCTAAAAGATGACTATTATTTTCCCCTTTCGGCTTATTACCCATTGGGTGTTTTTAGGGTCCGATGTCGGTTGAAACCCTTTTGCTTTTTGTGCCTTAGCACGTTTGAGTTAAAGATAATTTGGTACCTCTTAAGTTTTTTCGAGGGCTGATTTTATAGAAGCCCTTTTGATTATTTGTCGAGGGTAGCCGTTTTTAACCGATTTTTCAGAGAATTTGAAGGCCTATCATTATTGCAGATTTCGGACGTCTCCGAGCCGCGTTATTTAGGCCGTAGCTTTTAGTTTGGCCGTAGCCTTCGGGTGTGCCTCTTGGGCTTATTTCCCAATAACATTTCGAACTTGTTTGAAATGTCAGTCCCCAAGAATGGTGGCCTTGGCCTATAGATCGAGGGATTCCTCTTTGAGGTCTTATGCATTTGTGTTTAGATAACTCGAATATGCCTGTCATCGATGGTAGTCCCCTAGTGTATATTTTCATTTTGGCTTTTGAGTCGTTACTCGCAATATCATAAGCATGAGGTTTGTATAGTAGATAATTTT